AAAAAAATTAGACCACAAAAGTTTTATTAAATTGGAATTACTTTTAAAATGTCTCATAGTCTCAAATTGTTCTCTAAATTGTATGCTTGTGAAATACTCAACTATGGCAATATTAATATAAAATGAAAACTCTTTCTACCCCATCTGGTCCTTCCTCCAGAGATCACACTATGAATATCTTGTTGAGTCTGTTTTTGGATTCTTAGATGTGCATTTAAGTCCATAGCTATAGTTTTTTTTTCAAATAAAAATGTATGATACCAATCATATTCTTTGACATAGCATCTGCAACCCACTTTCCACCTCCTCTCCTCTCCAACTGCTCACTACACCATGAATATTCTGGAACTATTTTCCAAATGAAATGTCATTGCAATATATAGAGAAGATTGATGTAGCTATTTATAAATATTGATTTGGGTCCACAGTACAGGCCCAAGCTCACCTTTGAGAAGGCTTCTCTGATTAACTTTTTGGTTTTTTATTTTTACATGTTTTTTTCTGAGTGAAATTTGACCCCTGCTCATAAACATGCTTTTGTGTTTCACTAAAAATCTTCTTGTTGCAAAGAACAAAGACCCCTGATTGTAAGGAAACATGTGAGGCACATATAGAAACTTCTTTCTTGGGATGCTTCTCCTCCCTATTGATCTGTTCAGTCTTCTCACTCTTCAGGCTAGCTTCGTCATTCCACTAATTCCTGCAGTTCTTCCGTAGACAGCTTATAGTGGATCATTCACTCGCTCATTCATCAGTAGTGCTGAGTATTCATAGCATGTCTGGGTGGTTCTGTCCAATACAGTTTGGCTTGCTCTAATTCTGACTCAAAACTGTGACCTCCTTAACTTTACCTACCTTATCCCCCTGTGTTTCTGAATTCAAATTCCCAAGGTTGAGAATAAGAATTGTCCAGTTCGTGCCATTCCACACATAATCTGCTTGACATTCCATAGTCCAGTTCCAGTTCATCTTGGCAGAAGGAGGTTGGAGGACTTTGGGCAGGGTGGCCCTTTACAGGCCTAACCTGCCTAGAACGTTCCATGAATGGACTTGGGTCTTACCTGTCTGCATTTCTGCCCTCTCCCTAATCAGAAGGACTGTCATGATGTGCACACAGTCACTGTCCAATGGACAATGTTAACACAATTATTTCTTCACATGGAGCTGGAATCATTGTGAGCAGAAGGTGAGAATCACAGCCTCCCTGCTGCTCAAACATAAACCATTCCGTGTGCCGAAGAGCCGCAGGTCATTGTCACAGGAATGCTGCTGTTCTTGGTTTTATCTTTGGAGGTAAAAATGAAGAGAGAGAAACCAGAAGGAAACCACAGATGAGAAATACAAAGCTAGAGCTGGTTTAAGTCCCTATAAAGGGAAATAAAATTGAGCAATGAAATTACAGACCTGTGTAAGACACTTATTTTTCCATGGATTCATACTGTTTTTAGTTAGTAATTCTCTACAAAGTTCAGATTTTAATTCCTATTAGTACATAAAGTATATGCAACATAGCACTGATGACTCCAGACAGAGGATTAGGCAGTTAAAATGTAATTTGTATCTAGTATCAATTAAATAAAAAGTTTTATTAGGGACGATCTAGACAATCGAAGTCAATTATATGTGATATTAGAAATAGTTGACAACAGAACCAATGCTCAAATGGTGTCTTCCTCTCCCTTACATATTCTTTTCTCCACTCATTCTTCTAAGTCTCCTCTCATTTGAGAGGACTTCTGCCAAACTTTAGTATATTTAAAATTTGAGCTCATGTAGAGTAGCTGGATATAGTTGAGGAGTCACCTGACACATTGCTGTGCAGTGGGAAGGCAGACTGTATTAATCCTGAGCTGCTAGCAGAATGTTCGAAGGCATCCTACAAGTCAGACAGTGCAGGGGAGAAAGAGATGCCAGCTCTTAGAGGGTCGTGGGCTCAAGATCTGTTGGTGCAATGTCCTCCTCATCACTCCTGCTCCATTAGTGTTAGCTGAGGCTCTCACCTCTTGCCCAGGCTCTGCTGAATCTTCGCTGGCTTCCCTGTCTCCAGGTGGTGCTATTTCTGTCCTTTACATCTGTACTAACTCCTTTTCCAAGTCATCCAGTGACTCCTGTGTTCAGAACCCATTGCTTTTTCACTGCCTGCCATATACTTACATACCTAGATCCTTAATGGGGCACTTATATTTAATAATAAACCCTAACTGATTTCTTTGTTTTTAAAGATTTATTTATTTATATTTGAAAGTCAGAGTTACACAGAGAAAGAAGGAGAGGCAGAGGCAGAGAGAGAGAGGTCTTCCATCCACTGGTTCACTCCCCAATTGGCCACAACGGTCACAGCTGTGCCAACCCGAAGCCAGGAACCAGGAGCTTCTTCCAGGTCTCCCACACGGGTGCAGGGGTCCAAGGACTTGGGCCATCTTCTACCGCTTTCCTAGGCCATAGCAGAGAGCTGGATTGGAAGTGGAGCAGCCAGGACTCGAACCAGCACCCACATTGGATGCTGGCACTGCAGGCAGCAGCTTTACCTGCTACACCACAGCACCAGCCCCAACCCCAACTGATTTCTAACATTGCCTTCCCCTGTTCTGTGGGACCACACCAGACTGATTAACCATTGCAGCCTCCTTGCCTCTTTTGTTTTCTGGCTGAAATGTCACCTTTCCCCCAAATCCCACATCTACCTTGATCTTCCCCTTCCCACAGCCCTAAGATGAAGTTCCCCTGTGTGTTGACATATCCTTTAGTTAATACTCTGACCTTTGTTCTGTTTTTGTTGTTCATGAATTTTTTCCGCCATTGGACTGTGAGCATTTTCAGGACAGGGACTCCTGTCATTCACTCATCTTCACACTGTAACACCTAGTGAGGTCCTGCTTATAGGTGTTCAGATTTGGTTTCTCAAAAATTTATTTATTTTTGTTTGAAAGGCAGGGGAGGGGGAGGGATAGAGAGAGAGAGAGAGAAATACCTTCCATCCTCTAGTTTGTTCCCCAAATGCCTGTAACAAACATGGCTGGGCTGGGCCAAAACCAGGAACTGAGAACTCAATCCACTTCTCTGATTTGGGTGGCAGGGACTCAGGTACTTGAGCCATCACCTGCTATCTCCTAGAGTGCACATTAGCAGGAAGCTAGAATCAGAAGCAGAGCCAAGACTCAAACTGAGGCCTTCTGATATGGGATACAGGCATCTTAACTGCTGAGCTAGACCTCCCAAATTTGGCTTTTTTTATTTTTTTTTATTTTTTAATTTGAAAGTCAGACTTAGAGAGGGTGAGTGTGCTTCCATTTGCTGGTTCACTGAAATGGCTGGGGGCTGGCTCAGGCTGAAACCAGGAGATTTATCCACTGTCCCACATTCGTGCCAGGGGCCATCTTCTGCTGCTTTCTCAGGTGCATTAGCAGGGAGCTGGATCAGAAGTGGAGCAGCTGGGACTTGAACCAGCACCCAGATGGATGTCAGCATCACTGGCAGTGGCTTGACCCACTATGCCACAACACCAGCCCCCATCCCCAACTTTTCTTTGGAAGGAAGGATATTTATGGTCATAATTGTCTTAAATATTTGTTATGCTTTTGACTACATATAGATAGTTCTTAAAGTGTTAGTCCTGGGCCGGTGCTGTGGCTCAATAGGCTAATCCTCTGCCTGTGGCGCCGGCACCCTGGGTTCTAGTCCCGGTCGGGGCGCCGGTTCTGTCCTAGTTGCTCCTCTTCCTGTCCAGCTCTCTGCCATGTCCTGGGAGTGCAGTGGAGGATGGCCCAAGTGCTTGGGCCCTGCACCCGCATGGGAGACCAGGAGAAGCACCTGGCTCCTGGCTTTGGATCAGCGCGGTGCGCCAGCCCCAGCAGCCATTGGGGGGGTGAACCAACGGAAAAAGAAGACCTTTCTCTCTGTCTCTCTTTCTCACTGTCCACTCTGCCTGTCAAAAAAAAAAAGTGTTAGTCCTGGAGCCCATGCTGTGGCTCAGCAGGTTAATGCCCTGGCTTGAAGCGCTGGCATCCTATATGGGCACCAGTTCTAGTTCCGGCTGCTCCTCTTCTGATCCAGCTCTCTGCTGTGGCTTAGGAAAGCAGTGGAAGATAGCCCAAGTGCTTGGGCCCCTGCACCCGCGTGGGAGACCTGGAAGAAGCTCCTGGCTTCTGGCTTCGGATTGGCACAGTTCCGGCTGTTGTAGCCAGTTGGAGAGTGAACCATTGGATGGAAGACCTCTCTCTCTTTCTCTGTCTCTCTTCTCTCTGTGTAACTCTGACTTTCAAGTAAATAAATAAATCTTAAAAAAAATAAAGTGTTTGTCCTGATCATTGGTTTCTAATATTAGTTTCCTGACCAATAAAATAAAAGCAATATTCATCTATGTTTTATAGCAATTATTATACAATTATGATTAAGTAAATTATCAGGAAGAATCCTTGGTGGGAAGTTAACAAAGTGAATTCAAACTCCTTTTTCACGTACTTTGAAGAGTAGGGTGTAGTTTTCTAAGATGAAGGTTCAGAGTTTGAGTATCTCTTTTTGCCTGAATTCACTAAAACATGAAAATAGGGAATTGGATTACATCCACGCCTCCCCTTCCACTCGAAGGTGTATTATTCAAATGGTTCTACCTAACAGGGCTTAAATATTATTTAAATGACTTTGTGCTAAAGGCTTAAATATTATATAAATAGTTTTATGCTAACAATAGCAAGAAAGACTACATTTAAAAATTTTATTTTTACCAATGCTCCAAGAAGTGCTTTAAAGTTCATTTGGCTTCTAATTATCGATGTACAAATACATTGAATGATCATTTTCACAATGGCCCTGTTTCTTTAAGAGACCACAGTTGTTAAGTTGGAAGTTCATTGAACCATACAAGGGTCAATAAAAGGATAAAGTCACTGGTTAGTGATTCGAGGACAAGGAACTTGATCATAGCTCAGTATCTGGTGTCCATATGCTGCTCACAACCAAAGGGGAAGCGCTGGGACCTTGTCAGCTCACGTTTCCTCAGGATGGCTTCTGGAAGACTAATCAAGCTCGTGATTTTCGAGCTTCTGGAGTTTGCTGCTTTCTCCATTCCCACGCTCGTGATTATGGAGCAGTTTGCCACTGCCTACCAGAGGACCAGGAATGCGTCTGAGAAAACACATTACTGGCTGATTGTTTCCTGCTCTATCGCCTATGTCGCTGTAGTGAGTCTTTTGATTTGGGTTCCCGTAAAAGTTCTCTTACACAAGAAACGTCATCTTTACAAAAAAATTAAAGGATGGTAAGTAGAAGAATGCTTTAGTAGCGAGTCTCTGTGATGCTTTCATAGTTGTTTGCTAATGTTCTCTCTTTAAGGATGTAAGCATGGCATATACATGGTATAAAGTGTGAGATTAAGAATGAAGTTACATCACTGTTTCTGTAAGTGCACTGACCTAGTATCTTCTGTACATTTTCTTTTTTTTACATTTTCCTTTTTGCTGAGTGATAATGACATGGTGTTAGCATGAGTCCATGATGCCCTAAATAGACAATGTTGGACCTGATTCCTCCTTACACTAAGTCCCATGAAGGTATCATAGTTAGCTTACATCAGTCATCAGAAATAATGCGGGTTTTTGTGTAAAACTGAATGTAATATCTGTTTTTTAAGTGTTTGCTTTTTGTTTTGTAGGTCTAAGGCATACTTTGACCATTAACCATTTCAGATATTTTATCTTATTTTTTTCCATTTCAGATATTATAAACAGCTTGTTCATTTACTTAGATTTTTATTAAGAATACTATGTTGTTAAATTCTATTGCCCTTATGGTGAGAAAGTACTTTGATAAGAATACAGAAATAGTTTAAATGAATTGAGATTTAATGTTGATTTAACTAGTGGTTTAGCTAATGATTATACTGATCCATACAAAAGTATTGAGAACAAATAATCTCTGATACATTTGTATCAGAATGATACATTTTCCTTTTAGATCTTCAGATCTAATTCTTACTCATCTAGGATTTCTTTGTTTTTCTTGATGAGTTAAATTTTCCTTCTTACTGCTCTTTTGTTTTAACATCAAAAACAGAACACATTTGCAAAGTGAGAACCACCCCTTTTAAGTAAGGGCAGAAATGTAAAAATAATAGACATAGCATCATGTCTAGAAAGACAGCTAGGAGGACGCTGGAGGCTGAGCTAAAGTGTGGAGTTCTTTAGGTGCTGGCACTGCACCTGACCCCCGTGAACCTTGATGGGCTACCTTCAGTTCCCAGAGGGCAGGGCTCTTATGGCACTTTCAGAAATAATCCACTTCTTGTTGGCACTTCTCTTCATCAGTGGGGTCTAGGACCTGAACCCCAGGGTCACCTGAGGGATAGCTTGAAGCTGGGTTCAGCCCTCCTCTTATTACCCCCAACCCCTCTTGGAGTTGCTTTGACTACCCATGACTCATGGCTGGGTGGGGAATTTTGAAGGAAGGAATGGAAGAAGATCCAAATGACAATAGGAGTGAACAGTGTTTTTGCTTTTATTTTTGCTTGGTTTTGTTTGTTTTTTATGTTGGCTCAGATCCCTAGGACTCTAGATTCTGAATGTCATTCAGGGAGTTCATCTTCCCATGATTTTTTTTATATGCCGTAGATTATGTAAAAATAGTTTTATATATGAATTTCATTTCATTCTGTACCACCTCATATAAGAACTGATGTGAGGAAGTATGTATTTATTTCATGAGGCTTATTGTGAATTTTATCATTATTCTTTAAAATTTTGCTTATTTATTTTCACTTCATTTGAAAACCAGAGAAAGAGAAAGAGACACACAGACAGAGGAGATCTTCCATCTGCTGGTTAACTCCCCCAAATGCCCACAACAGCCATGGCTGGTCCAGGCTGAAGCCACGATCCAGGAACTCAATTCAGGTCTCCCATGTGAATGGTAGGGACCCAAGTACTGAAGCCATCATCTGCTGCCTCCTAAGGTGTGCATTAACAGGAAGTTACGTGAGAAGCCAGGACTTGAACCACATACAGTGATATCGAATGTGAATATCCCAAGTGGTATCTTATCTGCTATGCCAAATGCTCCCCCCTCCCCAAGTTTATCATTATTGGTTCCAAAGGGAACCTGAGGGTTAGGGAAATTAAAACAACTTTCCCAAAGTCAGTCAACTAGTGAGTGAAAGAGCCAGATCTCGAACCTAAGTCTAGCTGATTCCATAACTGGCACCTCTAATTGCTATCCTAAATTACCTCTTGGAGGACACAGTTCCAATCTTCTAGGGCAACTGAGATTAAGGCAGAAAGTCGTTCATTTTTACTCTCCAGTGCAAGTGGTTTTCTACTTGCCTCTGGTGTCTGTTCAGATTGGGTTTTGTACATCCAGTCTGGATATTCCCCTGTGCTAAAGTAACTTGGGTTGTCACAATAATTACGGTTTCCAGTGATTTCTTTCTTTAGTTTCTGTTTGTGGGTGTGGCTGGCCACAAGTTTTTAAAATAGTTTTAGATAAAAGGTTATCTATAATTTTAGTGAAACTATTAAACTACTTCCTTATAGGTAACCTTTCACTGGCCTGGAAGAGAAGAAACGGCTACTAAGTACTACTCTGGGAACTTTACACTCTCCATACAGTTAAATGTAAACTTTATGACAATCCAGTGAGGTGTCTTTGATAGTGTTCTCATTTTATAGATGAGAAGAAACTGAAACTTTCCATTTCAGTGACTTAACACAGTGATTACCTGTGTCAAGTGAAAAAGCCAGGGAGTGGTAGAGCTGGCATTTTTGAGCCCAGATGTATTCAGTTCTGTGCTATCTCCTTAAACTCATGTAACTTTTCCTTTATTCTTTCTGACTTGAATGCCGATTGTGCTTCAGGAAAAAATGCAACTCAGTAAAATACATTTGCCCCCCTATGTGTATTTGGATTCTGTGCTTAATTCCCAGAGATGTGTATCTGGATATTAAAATAGACTCAAGTGACAATAAAAAGTATCACATTTTCATGGCTAAAGATCATGATACAAAAGTAATTGCTACTATACAAAGTAGAGTTTGAAAGTACAAATTATCTTTCCAGAATAATTAATTATGTGAAGTTTTGTAGTTTCCTAGCATTCAAAGATTAAACATTCTAAAAATCTATTTATATTCATTCATTTTTATTTATTTATTTATTTTTTTTAAAGAGTTATTTATTTATTTATTTGAAAGGCAGAGTTATAGAGAAGCAGAGGCAGAGAGAGAGAGAGAGAGAGAGAGAGAGGTCTTACATCTGCTGGTTCATTCCCCCAGATGTCTGCAATGGTGGAAGCTGAGCCAATCCGAAGCCAGGAGCCAGAGCTTCTTCTGGGTCTCCTATGCGCGTGGAGGGGCCCAAGGACTTGGGCCGTCTCCTACTACTTTCCTAAGCCACAGAAGAGAGCTGGATCAGAAGTTGGAGCAGCCAGAACTCGAACTGGCACCCATGTGGGATACTGGTGCTGCATGCTGTAGCTTAACCTACTACACCATAGTGCTGGCCCCAATTGCATTATTTTTAACATCAGCAAGGACATTTGAGGGAATCAACCAGCAGATGAAAGATCTCCTCTGTTTCTCCGTGTGTCTCTTTCTCTTTCTCTGGTTTCCATGTGAAGTGAAAATAACTAAGCAAAATTTTAAAGAATAGTGATAAAGTTACAATAAGCTACAGCACCGGCCCCTGTTCGTTCTATTTGAAAGGTCAAGAGACAGATAGAAATGCATCATCCACTAGCTACTTCACTCCTCAAATGCCCATCACATCCAGAGCTTGGCCAGGCCAAAGTGGGAAGCCCATGCCTCCCATATAGTGGCAGGGACCCAACCACCCAAGTCATCACCTGCTACTTCCAGAGTGCACCCTACCAGGAAGCTGGAATTGGAAGTGGAATCAGAATTGAAACCCAGGCACGTTGATGTGGGATACAGGTATTCCCAAGTGCATCTTAACCAATGTGCCAAGCCCCTACTCCTAAATGTTGAAGAAACTGTTCTAGAGTTCTAGAACCTCCCTGAAAGCCCACGTTGGCATCATCAGTGCAATGAAGCTGGACTTCCAGAGAGAATGAGTGCTGAGCTAGTAATGGCTGTGCCCTGGGAATAAAACTTAGAAAAAAGACCTGGATTCATATCCCAGCTGTGACATTGGCTGTAGGATCTTGTGTGAGTTATTTATGTTTTTGAGCTTTGGTTTTTTCATGGACAAAATAGGAACAACCTATTTCTTCCTTGGAGTGTTGTTTTAAGAAACTGCATAATATCATGCATATAAAGTTCCTAGCATAGCACCTGGCTCATAGGAAGCACTCAGTGGATATTAATGTTATTACCCTGGACTGAATTAACTTTTTACTTAAAACATGATCTTCTGTAATCCTAGAATGATTCTCAGAAGTGGCAGAAATGATAAAGCTAGAGAAAATTGCATACTCAAATTGATATTCCTCAAGTTTGAGAATATTTTTAGATCTCTTATCTTTTGAGAATAAACAATATACTGATATTCACATAAAGTGTTTTTGCATTTGCACAATGTTTTTATGTTTCACTTTCTTACTTGACATGCATGCCATGTTGTGAAGTTGGTCAAGAGACATTCCCATTTTTATAAGGGAGAAAACAAATTTAATAGGACTCAAGACATAACTAAATCAATGACTGAGCCTGAACTCTAATCCAGTGCTCTTTCTCTTACTTTGTTAAACACTTCCTCAATTCTTTTTCATTTTTTTTTAAGATTACTTGTAATATTTCATAATGGAGTAGGGAGATGGTGGGAGGAATGAAGAGAATCTATTTATAAAAACACCGAACTGTATGAGTATATTCCAGTAAGTAAGCAAAAGCCTTTCCTGGAATATCCGTTGAATGTGTGAACTCACTTAGCTTCAAGGCTATAGCCTGAAACAAGCCAAGCTCCATTGAGAACACTGTGGGGCAGGATAGTTTTGCAGGGTTTGTGGGAATTCCCATGCTGTCTTTAGACCTAGAGGTATATTTCAGAAATATTCCTGAGTCCTTCAGAGTACCATTACCTCAGACTATGACATGTCAGGAATTCTGGGCAGTGCCAAGTTTGAAAGACCTCGACGTTTTGTGATCCGTTTTACCTTGCTGAACTCCTTGCCATATTGTGAGATTTTGCTATTGATCTATTTTAGTTATTAGTAGCTTTACTCGTGGTAAAACAAGAGCAGATATTATTGAACAACTACTTTATGTCAGGCATAATTCTAAACACAATGTATTGTTTTAGTTAGTTTCCTGA